CATTGCGGTGGCCTTCTCCTGTTTCTATGACTTATTTACTTTCTTGTGAGAGCTTCTGTGAAAATTTTAAAACTCACAGTGACTTCTGCTATGACTGTGTCCTTTCCACGTTTTTATGTATGGTGTATCATACGTGACCCAGTAGGGGACCTCTTTGCATTATTCTATGTGCAAACTTATTAAGTGAGGTAAAAAGGTGTCCAGGTCTTGAGCATCCATACACTACTGGACGTAACATGGGAGAGCTTGTACCCACCTTTGTCTTAGAACTGCTTCACCCACCGTGTTTTGGCCCACTAAGGCTTGGAGGTGACGTGAAAACTCTGATGGTGATCCACCTCCTGATGTTTCTCCCTGAAAAAGACTTGGATTCTTAAACCGTCTGATAAAGATGAGTTGTACATTATTCCTCATCTTGAGATGACCAATGATTGTGATGAACTCAAAACTAAGTCTCGGACTTTGGTGACTGAAGAAAGTAGGACAGAGCATAAATCTCGATAACGGATTCCCTCAGACTCAGTATTGTATCCCGTGAAATAAGGCTCTGGCTGAGCAAACCACAACTCAAGGTCACTACGATCAAATTCTGAGAGTCAAGCTTTTGTTGTCACAACAATGTCTATCTTTATCGGTGACACCCTTCAAAGTTTTCGTTTGTATTCGGTCTTACATGTGGAATATGACCAGTATGTTAATATGATACAAACGGGTTTAAATAATGATTACAACACGAATACTTTGCGAAAAATACTAATAAATAAAAAATATTTATACGAAATTTATATCGAAGAGAATTAGAACGCTTACTTTTACGACCAAGCAAAACATAAATTGAATTTGTGTTCAATATAGGACTCACTAATTTCGTGCGAACCGGTACTCCTCGTTCTACTGACAGACGAGAACAAACTAGGTCTGTATTTTGAAATACTGTAAGGTGAAGTGGAGCGTGAGGTTACCCTATCGAACACAAAAATCTTTTCAGCATTCAATATAAAATAATAAGAAATATAATATCCATACAAAATAAGGAAGTGAATGAATTAATGGGCTTTAGTGTTCTGGCATCGACTTAGATGTCTGTAGTGAACTTAGTCAACCAACCTCAGTTCTTACAGTGCTATGAAGTTGCTGGAGAATATTCAAAAACCAGAACACATGTTGTTGGGATAGTGTATCGTTAATAAATTACAAAATCCACATGCACGCAAAAGACAAACACGCCGGGGAGCGAAAGTATGTGAGTGAGAGTCGAAATATCCGTATGCTTTCTCTGAGGTTACTCAGCTGTAAGTCATTGATTGACTGTGTAAAGAAGAAATGGGAGAATAGGTAAAAATTGAGATGCAGACATGCGTTCAGTCAGAATCACACATACTTTTACATAGTGGTTTGACTGCCTAAATCACAGCAGGTAGGTATTAAAAAATTTAGTAGGCTTACTATAATGTCACATCTAAATGTACCCTTCGGTACATTTGAATGGTACTTCTGTTAAATTATGTATTGCGTAATCAAAGTTATCACTTTTTTCTAAGAATAAGGATTTTCCATGGCTTCTTGTTGATGAAAAACATTTTACATAAATATTCATGCGTGTATGTAATGCAACTCCCCAAATAGCCATAATGTAAGTGATGACTCTACTGAAAGTCGGTTTTTTGCCTTACTAAAGAACTGGGATTATTTGATAACGTGATATCAGGAGCTACGTGAAGAAACAAGCGAACCTTATTATACAAAGGCTGGTTTTTCACTGACAAATAATTCTTAACCGAAAACTTCCCAGTCCTAACCTTCCTGGGAAAAAGAGATTGCGCTGCTATAGCTTTTAATTTTGTTGGCAGATCTGGACTAAAATATCTTATTGAAAACTGTCGTTATAATTTTAAATGTATAAATGTCAGTTTTAAAGGAAAATTTACAGCAGATCAACTTGGAAGATTGTCTTTAACTTGATCTGGACACTTACGGAGGCTTTTTGATGCTGAAAATTTTGCGTGCTACGAATCAGTCTGTCACACAAATCAACCCTAAAGACTAAACCATCTTAAAGTCACAGGGACCACTGCCTTCCAATGCCAGGATCCAAAAGATATAAACGAACTGGTATTGACGGTATATGTGAGCACCTCAGAAAAATCATGAGCGGCAAAGTAGCGGGACCAGACAACATTCCAGCAGAAGCACTGAAAGCAGATTTAGCGGCAACTACAAAAATACTCCACATTCTCTTCAGCAAGATTTGTGATGGAGAACAAGTACCAACAGACGGGAAAGAAGGTTCTTCTGATCAAGATGCTAAAGAAAGGCGATCTCAGCAAGTGTGATAACTACAGAGTCATCACTCTTCTCTCAACACCAGGAAAAGTCTTCAACAAAGTATTGTTAAACAGAATGAAGGACTCCGTAGACGCCCAACTTCGAGACCAACAGACAAGATTCCGCAAGGATTGATCGTGTACAGAACAAATCGCAACTCTATGGATCATTGTGGAACAATCACTTGAATGGAATTTATCACTCCACATCAACTTCATTGACTACGAGAAAGCATTTGGTTGCGTAGACAGGACAAAACTACTGAAACTCCTTCGATACTACGGAGTGCCTGCGAAGATGGTCAATATCATACAGAATTCCTATGATGGATTAAACTGCAAAGTCGTGCATGGAGGACAGTTGGCAAACTCGTTCGAGGTAAAGACCGGTGTCAGACAAAGTTGCTTACTCTCACCTTTTCTCTTTCTCCTGGTGATCGACGGGATCATGAAGATGTCAACACCTGAAGGGATGCACGGAATACAGTGGACAGGTAGGATACAGCTAGACGATCTAGACTTCACAGATGACCTGGCTCTTCTATCGCACACGCAACAACAAATTCAGGATAAGACGACCAGTGTAGCAGCAACCTCAGAAGCAGTAGGTCTCACCACACGCAATGGGAAAAGCAAGATCCTCCGATACAACACAACATGCAACAGTCCAATCACATTTGACGGAGAAGATTCGGAAGATGTAAAAACCTCTACATATCTGGGCAAAATCATTGATGAACAGGGTGGATCTGATGCACATGTGTAGGCGCGGGTCGGCAAAGCAAGAGTAGCATATCTACAATTGAAGGACATCTGGAACTTAAAACAACCAACTGCAAGCCAACACCAAGATCAGGATTTTCAATAAAATAGTCAAGAGAGTTCTACTGTATGGGGTAGAAACTTGGAGAACGATGACAGCCGTCATCCAGAAGGTACAAGTGTTTATTAACAGTTGTCGGATCCGTTGGCCAGACACTATCAGCAACAACCAACTGTGGGAGAGAACAAACTATATCCCAGAGGAGGAAGAAGTCAGGACTAAGCGCTGGAAGTGGATGGGCATACACTGAGGAAAGTACCCAACTGAGTCACAATGCGATCCCTCTCTTGGAATCTCCAAGGCCAATGGAGAAGAGGAAGACCAAAGAGCACATTACGTAGAGAAGTGGAGGCAGACATGAGATAATCATCAGTACCAGATTAAGCTGGTTTTTAGATTGGCATCCAACCGGGAGAATTTACTCCACCCCTCATTTTGTCAAGCCGAAACCGGAGTTTCCGAATTATTAGGTAACCCCATGAAAAACCGTGGAGATTCCTTAAGGTCCTGATACAATGGTATTTTTCAACGTTTTATCCATCACGTACAACGTGCATTGACTACGGATTCGCTTGCAATTCAACAGGAGTCTTCAAGGTAAACCTAAGCGCTAGATTGATGCATCGGAAACTGCAGCGTCTAAATAAGAGCACTTTTCGTGTCTCAGATATGGTCTACCCTGCCTTACTGAGAGGAGCGGCCTCAATCTTGAAAACACGTAAGTGTAATGTTCTCACATTAGCAAAGCCAAGCTCCGATCCCAGACAATAGTCATCTGACTTATATCATAATATTTTTCAAGAGACCGATACAGTTTAATTACAAACTATCGACAGCACGTCTTTCAGCGTCATCAAATTTAGTGGAGTGTTTGGTATACAACTGTTTACACAACTACTTGCTATTCATTAACTTCTTTCACTCCAACAACAAGGCTTCAGGAAGGACCACTTCTGTACTACTGATCTGTTGATTACGATGAATGGACGGACAACTATTGACGACTTTAGTGGAAGTTGGATATGATATACCTCGATTTCTCAAAGACATTTGACGGAGTCAGTTTTATGCTTTCCACCCAATCTTTAAGTTTTATTTGGCCCCACCTAGCGTACAAAAATATCTATCTTCCTTAATCCCAAAAGGATTGAAATATTCCGAAATATATCCAAAAGAGAGCCACAAAATCATTCCGAGGACTCAATTTCAGATCTTATGAAAGGCATCTTGAATCACTGTATCTTTATATATCGGAATATGGGTGCCTCAGCGATGTCTTTTTTTACATCATCCGAGAAACTCCCGGGCACCCACAAATTACACATCCAAACGCAGTCCGAGCAAAAATCTTCGGAGCAATAACCAGAAATCATGAACAACGTTGCAATATTGACTGTAGGCGTAACTACTCTTTGCGAGCAGTCAAGTCTCGTAACTCACTGCCAGCTGAGATCTTTCAGTAGTCATTCAGTAAGGAACGTGAGGTATTCCCTAGGACTCTAAACTATTCAAACGTGATGGCGTTTGAAGCGGACGGTACTGAGTTCGAGTCCCAGAGTGAACATCAACTCTGAGATGCAGGTACATCCAGCTGACGAGTCCCAAACAGGACGAAACGCGCCTCCTGAATTCCACTGCTAGCCACTATCCATCTTTGCTTATTCAAACATCTGTTGAATTAATAATCCCAATAATTTAATCACCAAACTGAACAATAAACGCCACTAACCAGTTCAGAGATCTAAAGGATTCTCCTTTTAATGCAATGAAAAGCAGTCTTAGAAAGCTCGTTACTATTTCATCAAAATCTGAACTTTGAATCTACCTTAGTTTAAACGTAGTTTCGTGAGCGTCGCAAACAGATTGTTGACGGTGGTTACTTTCGTTTCTGGTCAGGCTTAGTATGTGTGCACTAAATGCGTAAGTCTAAGAGTTGTTTTTAAAAATTTCGTATATTCTTTTCGAACAAACCTGATAATAATACCTATAATCCAATAACAGGAATCCAAGTAATGATCCTTTATCAGGGGAAAGAGTCAAATTCCATCGTTTGATTGTTGACGAACCGATAAAAGATGATAACTCGGTAGTTTATTTATCTCAAGTGAGTGTACTTTTGCAGTAATCACCATCTTCCAGGCCAAGATGGATGCAATGAATCTGTTTCGTGGGGACACTGTTTTGGTCAAGGGTAAGAAACGTAAAGAAACTGTGTGTGTAGCCATTGTGGACGAGAGTTGCCCAGACGACAAGATTCGTTTAAATCGTTGTATTCGCAGTAATCTACGAGTTAAGCCAGGAGATATTGTCAGTTTAAAGAGTCTTCCTGACATCCTCTACGGGAAACGCATTCACGTGCTGCCTATTGACGATACTATTTTTGGTCTTACAGGGTAATGTCTTTTGTATGTTAATGAATCTCTAGAAATTTATATGAAGCTTTTCTAAAACCATACTTTTTGGCTGCCTACCGACCTGTACATAAAGGCGACATATTTGTCGTACGTGGTGGGATGCGAGCTGTTGAGTTCAAAGTAATTGAAACAGACCCATCACCTTATTGCATTGTTTCCCCTGACACTACTATTCACACAGAAGGAGATCCAGTTAAACGAGAGGTACGTATGGTTTAATTACTCATTATTCACTTATAGGATGAGGAAGAAAAGCTGAATGAAATAGGTTATGACGACATAGGAGGTTGTCGTAAGCAGCTGGCTCAAATAAAAGAAATGGTTGAGTTACCTCTTCGTCACCCTCAGCTGTTCAAAGCTATAGGTGTGAAACCTCCTCGCGGAATACTCCTTTATGGACCTCCTGGTACTGGAAAAACCTTAGTTGCTCGGGCAGTAGCCAATGAAAGTGGAAGCTTTTTCTTTTTAATCAATGGGCCGGAGATAATGTCAAAATTGGCCGGCGAGTCAGAATCTAACCTACGCAAAGCGTTCGAAGAGGCAGAAAAAAATGCACCAGCCATTATTTTTATTGATGAACTTGATGCGATCGCCCCTAAGAGGGAAAAAACCCACGGTGAAGTAGAACGCCGCATCGTTTCTCAATTATTGACATTAATGGATGGTCTAAAACAACGGAGCCACGTAATTGTCATGGCTGCTACGAATCGTCCTAATAGTGTTGACCCCGCATTGAGACGCTTTGGTCGTTTTGATCGCGAAATAGAGATAGGTATTCCTGATAGTATTGGGAGACTGGATATTTTGCGGATACACACCAGGAACATCCGGCTGGCTGAAGATGTTGAACTTGAGCAAATAGCCAATGAAGCTCACGGTCACGTAGGAGCTGATCTAGCTTCGTTGTGCTCAGAAGCTGCCCTCCAACACATAAGAAATAAGATGAATCTTATTGACTTAGAAGACGATACAATTGACGCTGAAGTATTGAACTCGTTGGCCGTAACGATGGATGACTTTCGTTGGGCTTTAGGAAAGAGTAATCCGTCCGCTCTTCGCGAGACCACAGTTGAGGTACCAAATGTCACCTGGGATGATATTGGTGGGTTAGAAAATGTGAAACGAGAGCTCCAGGAACTGGTTCAGTATCCCGTTGAACATCCTGATAAATTCCTGAAATTCGGTATGACTCCTAGCAAAGGTGTCCTGTTTTATGGTCCGCCAGGTTGTGGTAAGACGTTGTTGGCGAAGGCGATTGCGAACGAATGTAAAGCCAATTTTATCAGCATCAAAGGACCCGAACTCCTTACTATGTGGTTTGGTGAATCTGAAGCAAACGTTCGGGACATTTTTGATAAAGCTCGACAAGCGGCACCGTGTGTGCTTTTCTTTGATGAACTGGACTCGATTGCCAAAGTAAGTAGCATTTTACCACTTTAATTGGTTGAGTTTGTTATTTACATGTAATGCTTATATAGCAAGTCTATTTGTATTCGAGAAGTGTTATGCAATTAGCAGGCGTTTCAAACCAACTTTAAATTTTACATTTTGCAAGACCTATGTTGCCTAGGTCTGACTTAATGAAACGCTGTGGATTTGACTAAGCTTGTTGTTTCTGGTCCGTTTTGGTATACATGCTATAAATCAAATGGCGTGCAAGCAAGTATTGTTCAGCCTTTCGAAACTGTGACTCTGAAACTTCACGTCAGTACTAACGTGAAAGACGAAAGTAGTCGCTAAAATGCCATATCGAGTAACAAGTGCACTCCTGTTGCATTTGGATGTTTTTAGTTATTCTCTCAAATATTAGTTTCTGACGTCTTGATAGTTGCTCGTAGGCTCAAATTCGTGTTCAGTATTGTGCTGTTCTAATCTACAGTTCACCAACAACTCTGATCTTAGTTCCTACCTTTCTGTAGATATTAGAGACAGTACTGAGAAATGGAAATGTTTGCCGTCCATAGGGATCATACTGTTTATTCAACTAATCCATGTCGATATCCTACTCTAACGTAACGTATAAGCAGCTTACTAGTGTTTCAGTCCTGTATACCATGTATTTAGCTGGTACACCATCCCCTACATTAAGTTTCGTCAGTATTTTTCATTTTTTTGTACAAAACATCCAATAACTGCCTTTCCTAATCAGTCCCTAGTTTATACGTTATGGCTGCTCAGTGTCTGATTTGCTGATTAGCCTCGCTAAAATATTTTTTAAAATGGGATATAGAGCAAGGATATGGGAGTGTTGTTAATTTTTTGGTGCGAAATAGTTACTGCGAATTGATTAACGAATAATTAGATGGTAAGTTATTTATTACATATCTCTTCATGCCGGTAAATGTCACTGATATTTTCGTCCCAATAAGCGCGTTCCCCATTGCAATGTTCACTTCCCTAGGCTCGTGGAGGTAGCGTTGGTGATGCTGGAGGTGCTGCTGATCGTGTTATCAACCAACTTCTAACCGAAATGGATGGTATGTCTGCTAAAAAGAACGTTTTTATCATTGGTGCCACTAATCGCCCAGATATTATTGATGGGGCCATCTTGCGTCCTGGAAGACTCGACCAACTAATTTACATTCCACTGCCAGATGAAGCCTCAAGAGCTAATATTCTAAAAGCTAATTTAAGAAAATCCCCAATTGCAAAGGTAAGTTATACTTTTTGTCTGATCTTCATTAATGAAGCATTTCAATATCGGTCTTCTACATTTTTGATGGAAGTATAGGATCTGTAAACTTAACTGCACCAAGCATAGAAGTGCCCTTCGATGATATTAGGAAATTCACACCACGTTTTCAGAATTATAAAATATGACTTTCGGATTTCGGCACCAGTTTGTTGGGATTGTCTTGAGTTACACTTGATGCTACTAATTTCGATTCCCTTCAAAGTGGTGAGTGTTCACCTTTAGTTCTAAATATGAAGGTGGGAGAAACTTAGTTTCCTTCGATTCAGCTATTTTGTAGTCTACCGGTTGACAATAAAAATCATATTTGTACTACCCATTGTGACTCGAAATTAGAGATATGTTAGTTATTGCCAGGTGATTTTTGTCTGATAATTCTCCCTAACTGTGCAATTATGCGTAAACCAAATTCTTTCTACATTTACCACATAACTCTATTTATTTACAAACCCACGGTACTGTATTCCTTTCCGCTTGAATTTTGTAAATAATGGTTACTCGGTACTCTGATAACATCTAGATTCCCATCACGTGAAGTGCTTTGTACTACGAAGCTCCAAGTGTTTGTCAAAAATTCTAACTTCTCCCTCTAGGGGGTTACCATGCTCTCAATCTGATTGAGTTCTTTTTACTTCGGTGATAGTAAATGTGACGATTTGAGCTTATTCCTTGCATCACACGTTGTTTAGGAGTAACCTAAGTTGTCACGCAAAATTCGGCTGCGTAATAGCATACAACGGAATATTATGCTATCGATGGTACTCCTGAGTCTGAAAAACCATCTTGCTTATAATTGCCGCACTAACATATTGTACCTTTTTGCTGTTGCAGTGTTCTGTAGTAGTCTTTTTAGCCAAAATTGTCTGAAATATGGCTTCAGACTAGTGCTTATATTGCTGATGTGTAGAACTTAAGGACTTATGTTCTTTGCTAAAAACAATCAGTTCAGTCAGCTTTAGTTCAGTGAGACAGTTTTCCCGGTATAAAGCGTTTGGTTTCCTCAGTAATAAATTTTAAAAGTGTATACAAATTTGCTGCCTTTCTGTTAAGCTTATATAATTACTTGTAAAATACCAGACATTTTGTGTGCCTCTATGATCCTCTTCTTTTGTCGAGTGTAAACAAAACAAATCAGAAACGTTTTAAACCGACTGGGTGATAAATTCGAACCAAAATCTACTCATCGGAAAAAAAACAAGCAATTATGTTGCAATCACTCGCTTTGTATGTCGCAGTTTCAAACCCTTTTCAATCTAGCTAGGTAATATCACTGGTCTTTATAGTTATAACTTAACTGAATCAGTACTTTTCGAATCATAATTTTTATAGTTATTCCTTTACACTACCATGGGTAACAGTTTATATTTTAGTGTTACACTTGAGACAAATTTCGTGTCTAAATTTTAGGGATTTGGGTAACAGATTTAAGATTGTATAATGTAGTCTTTTTAACTGTTTAACAGGCATTTACTAACTCTTGGTCTTTTTAATATTAGGATGTTGACATTAATTTCTTAGCAAAAGCTACTCAGGGATTTTCGGGTGCTGACCTCACAGAAATATGTCAGCGTGCCTGTAAACAAGCAATACGTGAATCTATCGAGGCGGAAATACGTGCTGAATCTGAAAAGAAAAACAAGCCCAATGCTATGGTAAGTTAGTTTTTAGATGTCCAACTTTTCTATGTGTTCTAGTAATGATTACGACAAGATTTTAATCGCGTTGACAGTAGAGTATCTTTGCAGCATTCCAATGTTATTTTTATTTATTTACTTAAACACATAAATATTGATACAAGGAAGCATCAAATAGATATGCGCCACACAAATCATTCGATTTGTGTGAGGGATGGAATACTGTCTGGGTGCTTAAACCGAGGCAGACGGTTTTCTTAGGGGACCACTCTCCGAGCCTGTGACTTAGAGGTCTAGTCCACAGGGCAGTGGAGCAACATTCGGAGGTGCAGTCCCATGGTAGCCGGTGACCAACAATGGGCTCATACGTCATTTGTTTCCTTAGGATCCTTGAGCCTTTGTGCCTCATTGGTTTGGAATCGGGGTTTTCCAAGTTCCCTAGGTGGACCCTCTGTATCTACCAACCCGGTTAAAGCGCCGGATACCCCAACCACGAGGTGAGTAGGACTTCCCTGGCAATGGTTGTATGCACGTGGCCATGTGAAAGCATTTGGTGAGGGGGGGGGCAGACTCTCCCCACTCTCGGCCGTGCTGGGGTATTTGGAGGCAATATTCTTGGCTTTTTCAAATTCCTATTATAACGAATCACGTAGCTCTTCGGGTTCCAAACTGTGCATTCGTATAACTCATTTATAAACGGAAGTAGGAAAAACGGTTTGTTTTTTTTGTTTGGAGCTAACGAGGATAACCTAAAGTTCATCCATTAGTCTAGAATAATTCTCAGGTTTTAGTATGCTGTAGAGCTACTTTGCTAACTTGACGTCTTTTCTGACGACAATTTGTATCCTTAGTCACATTCGTCACAGTCATTCATCTTCTGTGTTCATATCTATGTAAACATTCGTCATCAAAAAGTGATGGGCATAGAAAAACTAGCTATCATACCCTGTTCGTTTAATCGATAGCTGATTTGTATGTGCTGTGTATGATTTTCTTAACATCATTTTCAATATGTCTAACATTCTCAATCCACGTGTGCATTGTGTAATCCCTGCCATCAACCTAGAGTGTTTTTGCTCCAGCGATTCTCCCATGCATGTACTAAGATTAACAACCTCTCACAACCGTACAGTACCTTTTATCTTACGGCGGCAACCGTCTCTTGGATCCACAATTAATAAAGAGGTAAACAGGAAGTAAAATAAGTCGATGTATGTTCTAATCCTCAATCTTCATAAATTATAAACAGGTAAATATTGCCGAACATGTGTTGATTATAGATCGTTGCTTAATTTGTTCTACGTTTCTTAACCCTAATATCGAAAACCAATTAAACTTTCTTTGATTAACCAGGATTAGCAGTCTTCAAAGGATTCTTCGTTAAAAGTACGAATGCCAAATAGGGTATGCTGATTTTAGCTGATTTATTAGTACGGATCGTTAGCAACCGCTCACCCCATCACATTAATTGGTTGTCGTAGGAGTAGATAGACAAGCATTGGGAAGAAATAATAGAGGAAACTATCTAAAATCCAACAAGAATAAGAATTTTTGATTAATGTGATGGAGATGAAAACACATAAGATACACTGTTCGTCCGTAGCCGTAGAGGTAGATATAATCTCTCACTACACATAACCAAAGCGCTTTTAAATTTGACATTTCAAGATGTTAGTCATGAATAGGACATATGAACAACGCTTCTCGTTGTCTGAATATGGGAGAATTTCGCCAAAAGGCAAGCTTCCACATATGAACAACCTAGGTTTGTTAGTTAGAGTATACGATACGGAATCATACAATTTCTTACGCTTCTCAAGATTAATTGCTGTATATATCATTATTGATACTTATTATTTTGTTGGCTTCTTTTAGGAAGATGATTTTGATCCAGTGCCAGAAATAACTCGTCGTCACTTTGAAGAAGCAATGCGCTTTGCAAGACGCTCAGTGACTGAAAATGATGTACGGAAATATGAAATGTTCGCCCAAACATTGCAACAGTCAAGAGGAATAGGTAGTAATTTCAGGTTAGTGTATATATTGTTTTACCACGTTAATGCAAACTAACTTCTAACTTGAGATTTCTATGTATTCTCGTTGTGCCCCATGTTTATTCAGAAAAATCCAATTAATGTTCATTTATTATTATCGCACAGTAAAAAAATATCATCTGCATACTCAAGGTCGAGAAGTCTTTCTCCATGCAACAGATCCACGCCACCATTACTTACATCCATCAGAGCTGTTTCCAGAATGTCATCGATGGTAAAGTTGAAGAGGAATGGTGAGATCGGGCAACCCTGTCTAACCCCACTGCTTGAATGGAACAATGGAGAAAGGTGGTTGCATGCCCTCACTCTTCCTGAGGTGTTTGTATATAGGGCTTTTAGGATGTTAATGAACTTCTCAGGCACATCCTTCTTCAATAGACAATCCCGGAGAACAGCCCTGTTGGCCTGTGATAAGTATGACGGAGGGTGAAGATATGATCAATACATCCTCGACCGGAACGAAAACCAGCCTGCTCCTCGCCAGTCAATCTTTGTCGGGTTTCGAACATCCTATGAAGTATGACGGAAGCCAATAGCTTGGACGCAATCGGAAGTAGACTTATCCTCCGATAGTTGTTACAGGAACAATGTGAGCCCTTTTTAAAGATCATTCCATGACATTGGTACACTCTCTAGCCCCCAGACCTTTGTAAACAACGTCGTCAATTCCTTAGTCAGAAAGTCACCACCATCTTTAAAAAGAGCCGGAAGTAAGTCATCTGGGCCGGGTGATTTGTAACGCTTCAAGAGTTGGAGTTCCTTGCGGACTTCCACCTCATTTGGTAGATCAGACTTCACCGGCCATGGAGGGCGTGACAGTCTGATCGGTGTTCCTGGAGCAGCAAGGCAGCTGAACTGCCCTTCGAAGAATTCTGCCCATCGTCCAAGACGTCGATGAATGTTGGTGATTGGCATCCCGTCATCCTCACAGATTGTTTCGCTCACACCAGACTTCTTGTTGCCAGTGGCTCAGATGAGTTGGAAGGGCTTCCGGTAGTTACCAGATGCAGCTGCTGCTTTCAGCTCATTAGCACGCTCCGACCACCAGGCTTCTCGGTCCTTACGCAAGCTTTGCCTGGTTTCATTACGTAACAGCCTTCGTTTGTGGTCAAACTCACGGTCATCCGGAGTAGACCGACGGGCTTCGATGAGTTGTAAGGAACCAGAAAAAACCTGGGTGCCCAGGCCGAAGCGGGTAGTTTTCTTAGGAGGCCACACCCCGAGCTTTTGACCTAAAGGTCTGGCCCACAAGGCAGTGGGAGCGTCGTGGAGAGATGCAGTCTTATGGTAGCCGGTGACCAACAATTGGTTCATACGTAATTTGTTCCCTCAGGATACTGGAGCCCATGTGCACGATTGGTTTGGAATCCAGTTAAAGCGCCGGACATTCGCTTTTCGTCTTTTCATTTTCGTAAACAACACCCCCACCACGAGAAGGCAGTGAGTAGGACTTCTTTGGCAGAAGCTGTATACGCGTGGCCGTGTGAGAGCATTTTGAGAGGGAGGGCAGGCCCACCCCACTCTCGTCCATACTAGGGCATTTTGGGGCAACTCAAATAAAAGATGAATACCAGAAAAGTTATTTATCGTCTGAATAGAGTAAATAGTAGGAGTACCTGTTTCGTTGTGATTTATCAACCATATAAGAAGTGATTAGCAATATATTATCGCTAAAACAATGTCATTTTTCGGAGCAACTTTGGTTGATATTCCTTGACTTCGTCATTTAGTATGTCCCACCTTCCAAGGCTAATTTTATGGACTAGTTAAACTATCAGTCCAATAGGTATTGTGTCTTACTGTTAAGTCTGAATTCTTTAGTAGTGTGATCCACAAAACTACAGGTTTGTTTAGCAGACTATAAATCACGTCTTTTAAAATGTAACGACGATGATATATTAACGTAAAAACTAGGGTTCCATTCGTACGTACGTTTATCAGTTCGAGTTGCCATACCACATTAGCAAAGAGATGCGGTTGTCGATTCAAATTCCGTGGTCGTAGAGGCGGTAAGAATATAAGCAGTAATCGGAAAGATTAGGGTTTGATGATGTTATTCAAGAAGTATAATCCAGTGAAATAAATTTGGAAAGAGAAAAAAGGAGACAAGGAGAATTCAGAAGATTAGAATTTGGGAGAACACAAAGAGTGTATGCACCTGCACCATTGCAAACGATTTTGAGCCATGTCATTCAAGGTCTCTAACCATCGGTTGTTATCGTCTCACGGATCCCAACCAGATAGTCTACACCTACCAACATGACTCAGTCCACTTGTCAGTGACTTCATGGACTCGTGCCATGTTTTGGTCTGGCCGCCCCTAGCTTTCTTCCAACCTACTCCTATACCATAAAACATCGCACGTCGCGGCATTCGGTGGTTGGGCATACGTAACACGTGTCCCAGTCATCTCAACTGATGAAGCTTCACCACTTCAATTGATTTGCCATCCTTACTAGTACCCATTTCCTAACGACTACATTAATCACTCGGTGGTCCCAGGATATACGAGCAATGTTTCGAAGACACCTATGATCGAATACTAGTAACCTACGAATATCCTCTACTCTTACCGGCCATGTTTCACTGCCATAAAGTAGAACGGAGTGAACTGCTGAGCAGTAAATTCGTCCTTTGGTTGATAGACGTATATCTCGCCTACGCCACAAATGACGCAAGTTGGTTAAAGCTAGTCGTGCCTTCTGTATCCGTGCTGAGATTTCGTCACACACCAGACCACAAAGACTGATGAGACTCCCAAGATAAGTGAAGCGGTCGACACGCTCAATTACTTCACTCCCTATCATTAGTTCGGGTGTCAATGCAACCCAATCCTGAAGCAACATTTTGCATTTCAAGGGGGAGAATCGCATGCCGAACATGCTAGCATTGTTGCTTAGAGTGGTCAGAAGACTCGGCATTTTGTCAGCGTCTTCACCAAATAGAACTATGTCATCGGCATATTTCAAGTCAACAAGTGAATCTCCTGGTAGAAGTTCAACCCCTGGAAATTTAGATGAGGAGAGTGTTATCTCTAAAAGTACGTCAATGACAATGTTGAACAAGAATGGAGAGAGTGGACAGCCCTGACGAACACCACTTGAGGTAATCAATTCTGATGACAGTTCGCCATAAGCTCTCACTCGACCAGTTGTGTTCGAGTAGAGAGCCTCTACAAGCTTAATGTACTTCGTTGGTACTCCTTTCAGTGACAAACACTGCCATAGAACCTCACGATCAACAGATTCGAATGCTGCTTTAAGGTCGAGAAATACTATTGTGGGGCGTCTGAATGTGTGTCTATGTTCTAGGACCTAACGTGATCCTACATGTAATTTAGATCGTGGTTTCAGGAGACCAGTAATAACGTTACGCGTACTCGAATCATTTACCCTAGTGGTGCGAGGTGATAAAGAGACTTGAGAAAGATTAATCTTGGAGATAAGAGAGTTCTTAGGAGATGTAGGAAGGATTTGAATGTGACTAACTTGGTCTCGTGTGCTGTTAGGGGTATGAGGGCTGATATAACTCCCCGGCTGTGCCCACACTATGGTAGGGTATTTCTTGAGGAATCTGAAAAAAAGTCGGGTTCGTGTTGGTCTTAACGACTTGGGAGCGTGTCTGTCGAGCCCTAGGGTCAACTGCTTGAGGCCGGGTCGCGCACGGCATTTTTGTGGGAGGTTTCTAGCGTGTTAGCTCCCTCCTTTAATGGCCCTTACCATCGGAGACGGAAATCTGCGAGGTAAGGTGGTGTGTAACATTTTTAGGGTCGACATTTTCTAACTCATCCTTGCTTGTGAGAAGACAGCATCACCGCAGACGCTGGTTGTCCGAGAAAAACATCTTACTGCTGTCACATTCCGCCACAGTCAGCATTACGACTTCACCCTCAGACTTTGAGTTGCTGCTTTTAGTCTTACCGTTCTCCAAACGACCTGCCTGGCATGGTAGAACCTACAGGAACATACGTCCCAGCCGATCTAGCTCGGTTGGGTCATCACGATAGGCTAGTCCTACCACCACGTCAAGGTAGCAGCTACGGTCAGGTTAAAAACGTCAGATTTATCCTGTATTCTTACGTCTAGCTTCGACATTGAAACTAATTGCCTCTTAGGTAATATTCGAATATTCATCCGTTATATACAGCCGTGTAACTGCAACGTAATTCTAGACTACATTATGATCTTTATCTCTTATATATACTCGAGCATATATATATATATATATATATATATATATATATATATGTCGGCACGGATTCAAAAGATCAGATTAGCTATTTCCAACTTGCGTCAGTTGTGGCGTAGGTGAGATATCTATTTACTGAAGGACTAGTTTACGGTGCTATATTTTGTTCCGTCCTACTTCATCGATATGAAACGGCCATTAAGAATAGGGGATATCCTTAGTTTACTGGTGTTCAATCCTAAGTAAATTCCAAGCGTTTTTCTTGTATCTTGGAATCACTTACTAAACGATGCCGGGATTAAAGATAGGGTACTTGATAATAGTGTGAAATCGATTGATAAGATAGTAAGTCTTCAACTGATTTAGTTGGGGCGTGTGTTTTGTGTGTCTAGCCATCTCCTACCTTGACTGGCTGTTGTCTGATGTAGAAATGGGTTGGAAGAAATTCGAGGGCCTCCGAACCAATATATCAGTCCATGGAAACATCGACCTTAGGTCTCAGTCGTGTAAGTAGGTAAATACTACTTAGTTGGAATCCACGTGATTATTTTAGCCAATGGTTAGAGACATAGCTCAAAATCGTTTGCAATGACCTTTTTATCTCGCCTTTTTATAATTTTCTGAATCATATCTTGGATACTTAGTCTTTTGTGTTACCACTAATAGGGTTGCTACCTCTTGTATTTATTTATTTGAACACAAAAATTGGTTCAAGGGGAGACCGAAATATGTATGTGTCACACAATAAAAGTGACGTTGTTAAGAGTAGATAGATAAAGGAAAATGAG